GTACTTTGAACGTCAACAATCTCATAATAATGTTACGCTCAAGCGAATTTAGCACATCATATGGTCATCTGTGCATAATGAGATGCATCTACAATTTAGTAAACCTTTCCCTCTTTATTTATTATACAGGACCGAACACAGCTTTGTGAGTTAGTTACTCTTTCAAATTTTGTGCTTGCGATGAATCCAACGAGAGAAAGTAAAGCCATGATAAGCAATTTCTCCTTATGAAATTTTCTGATGTCTAATGTATATATTATACTAGCATGTGTGGCACATTCCTGGTTCAAATCAAAATCCTTAGCTTAATTAGCTTTCTAGCCAATTTTTATTAGAAAGCGTCAGCCTTCATACATACCAGAGTGATGACTTAGTCTTAATAAATGGAGGTTATATGTTCATTTAGTGGGTTATCATGTAAATTAATTTCCATCGGCCCACAGCGAAACCTATGAGAATTCGATAAATCGATGAAACGAATGTATTTTTTTGAACAGATATCATAATCGGCATAGACGATTGTGCATCAAATATGGATAAAAAGCACGAAAAATCATTAAATCAATAGGCCAATCAGACCTATAAAATGCTTTGTGCCAAGGTTATGTGTAATTCTGGTCTAGATGGTTCAAAATCAGAGAATTATATCTGGAATGTCTAAACACGCACCTATCACTGCATATAGACTTGCTTCGTATATCAGATAGTATGCACTTTGATTCAGCAAATACTTTCCGCCTTATGACGAATTCGGAAGGGTTGCATGTATGTCTGTAACGTTTATCTATGCTGCTTACCCCCTGCTTCAACTGGGGGTGGTCTATAATCGTGTAACAGCACTCTTTCTCCCCTATAAGTACGACAAAATGTGCCCTATAGCATCAGCGTGGGTGAGTTTTCCCCCAAAATTGTATTCTAGTCAATTTTTGAAGTATTGCGATTAAGGTATTCATAATAGTAGGTTCATTTTATGGGACCTATGCAATAGCGCAACAACTTTTTCGTGAGT